GGACACCTGCTCAGGAGTTCTAAGAGTACCCTTGTGTTTTAGTTAGGGTTTCTACTGCTGCCCTGAAACACCGTAACCAATAAGCAAGTTGGGAAGGAAAGGGCTTATTCAGCTTACACTTCCAGATCATAGTTCATCATTGGAGGAAGTCAGGACAGGAACTTGAACAAGGCAGGACCCTAAAGGCAGGAGCTGATGCAGAGGCCATGGAGGGGTACTGCTTTACTGGCTTGTTTCCCATGGCTTGCTCAGTCTGCTTTCTTATAGAGTCCAGGACCACTAGCCAGGGATTACACCATCCACAATGGGTAGATCCTCCCGTACTGATCACTAATTGAGAAAGTGCCTTACAGCTGGATTTCATGGAGGCATTTCCTCAACTGAGGCTCCTTTCTCTCTGATGACTCCAGATTGTGTCAAGTAGACACAAAACCAGCCAGTCAGTACACCTTGTCTCCCTGAATGCCTTTGTATTGTTTATTTTTATTTAAAGTTCTTGTTTTTATTATTTTGTCTGTATGTGTATATGTACATCTGTGTGTGTGTGTGTGTGTGTGTGTGTGTGTGTGTGTGTGTGTGTGTGTGGCCTGTATTTGGAGGTCAAAGGTCAATTTGAAGGAGCTGGTTTTCTACTCACCATGTGGGTTCTTGGATTGAACTCATGCTGCTAGACTTTACCTGTACTGAGCCTTCTCAGGGGCTCTGGCTTTGTTTTATCTAAAGATCTGGGGGATCCAGCCTGAGAAAACTCTCTAAGCCAGCAGGGGTGACCTGCACACTTCCACTTACCCTGCCAAAGCCAAGAAACAGAAATCTCAGTTTTTTGACCGTATTTGTGCTGGAGAAGCCACAATGGGCTCTCGAAGGGATGCCACATATGAAAGAAGTGGTCTATGCCCATCAGCAGGCTTCAGAACAGCACAAAGGTACACATGGAGAGTGTTTTAGCCATGGCATGTCAGAACCTTTATCTTTGGTGCTGTGACTCTAGGGTCCTCTTCTGAGTCCGGGCTCCTCATCTTACACAGTTGATGCTTCCTTTTTTGGACAGATACTGTGGAGACTCCATGAGGGAAAACACTTTAAAATGCTACAGAAATGTTCGTGGGTGTTGTTTTGTTTGTTTGTTTAATCGAATAGTGTGATGGATGCTTCAATGCCTTTCCAGTCAAAGTCTTTCTCCACCAGCATCCTTGGCTCAGTGCTTTGATTTTAAAGAATAATAATAAGCACTTAATTCTGTGTTGCACTCGCTGGTAGTTTGAAAAGAAGTGGTTAAATAAAAGCTAAGCCACCTAGTGACTTTCAAAAACTATGTGACATCTAGGAACAATACAAGGAGAGTCCTGGGAGCAGTGCCATTTAGAGGCCATCGAGATTACATGGATGACATTCTTTCAGTGGCAAATACAAGGACTGCACTTACCGCAATGTGTGCTACATTTTGAGTGTTCAATTAAATGTAATTATTAAAACGTAACCATCTTTAGCGAAATACATAGAGACCAGCTAGACTTACATATTCCAAAAATTAGCAGTGGGTGTGTTTCTTTCATGAGATTAAATTTCTAACAGACTAAGCAACACACTGAACCAAATCCATTAGCCCAGAATAAAGATTAAGTCAGGTGTGATAGTGCAGACCTGTCAAGAGGATTAAAATAAACTGTTTCTCTATCTTTATTTTGGTACAATAATAATAGTACTTTATTGTTTCAAGTTCATCCTCGGCTACATATAAGACCCTGTCTCCAAAAAAAAACAGGTAAAAAGTAAACTCCACTCGTGTTTGTGCAGCTGTTGCGACAGGAACTAGCAAGCAGGATCCACACCCACGTCTTCTGCAGCCACTCATTCATTTCTGAGAATGGAGATGTGGTTTAACTCCAGGCGTGTTCTAGTCTCCGTGTGCCTATCACCGGAAGTTCATTAGATTTCATGTATTTGCCATGCCCAAGTCCTGAGACAGAAACTGGGATGGTTGGGGGAAAGCAGGTAATGAAACATAATCTCCATGTCTTTCACAGATGTGAAGAGAACAAGAATCGCTTGGCCTTGTCACTATGAGCGGGTCTCCTCGTGGAGGCGTGAGAAGAGTCCCTTCCGCCGCTCACCCTTGTGTGTGGAGGGAAGAGCCCATCTCCTCTGCCTCTCACCGCACTATAGACATGGGCACCTGGAGTGCGCTATACTGAGGAGACTCCATGGCCATCCTGCCACACTGTCTGGGACGAGTGTGTCAAGATGTTCTTGGGGCTGGCTTAATGGATCTCTTCTAAAAGTATGTGTACAATTTTTTTTAAATGTCTTTTTTTAGAAGGGCCAAGAAGGAGAAGAGAAAGAGAGGTTGAAATGAGGATCACTATGTCTTTATAACTGTGTAGGCATAAAATTCCCCTTAAAAGGATGCCTGAAAGCCTGGACTCTAACACTCTCCCTCAAGTACTTGTGATATTTTAGCAAAACTGGGATCTAAATGGAGTTATGACTCCCTGTCCGACTCCACCTCCCAGCTTCTCTGGCCACTGTCTACATCCCCTCCCCACATGCCTTCAAATTCATTTTTCTACTATTGCTAAATATCAGTTTAGATTATCATAAGGGACTCACCTGGATTAAAATGGATGACAGCTTTACTAACACATTTTTATCCCCTTTGCTTTATATCGAGGCCCTTCTCCAAGAAACAGTCCATTCTGATGAGAGTGTCCGGACTCACATGTAGAATGAGATACACACTCTTCCTGTATGGACACCCAGACACATTTTTCCCTCAAAATTGTCTTTAGTTCTATAAGTGATGAATGGCAATACTTAGGGAAGGATCTAATGGAGTTGTAAGCATGTTTCCTACAGTGTTTCTTACAGAATGTTTCTTCAATAAAGTAGGACTCTGTCACCTTCTAAGCACACAGTGACCCAGTCAACTATCAGTCTTCCAGGCCCAAACCAAAAGCTAACTGATGACTTCTCCTACAGGCAATGAAGTGCAAAGATCCTCAAAGCCCAGCTGTGTCGACTGCCAGTTTTTCCTCTCAGCTCCCAAAGCATCCTTCAATAACAGCCCTGTGATAAATGATGCGGTTCTTAGCATTTCTCCTGTGCAGTGGTAACATGTTAATCTTCTGTGACAGAGAGCACAGCAGGCTATTACAGGGGAGAGGAGGAAGGTTTCTTACCTTCCAGCACAGGGAAAACAGGAGAGAACCAGGGACGATTCTGTCAGCCACAAGCCCGGAAGAGGCCCCGCAAACATGCAGCTTCCACCGTCGAAACCTTTCTAAAATTTTATAGCAAGCTTTTCCATTCACCACTGGAAAAGGTGCTCTCGGTGAGCTTAATAGCAGACTGATACTACATTAGCTTCTCACAGTGTAAAAGCTACAGGCACGGCCCACCTGGGCTTTGTCTGCACTGTTGATGTCTTTTCCATCATTGCCTTATGCTTAGACAGTCTATCAATCGACTAACGAGGAAATTAAGTTATGGTCTGCGGCGTTTGCCAATTTTGTCAGTATCAGTGTAGATAACTGTTGTGATGCTGAATTCAAGTTCTCTGGAATCTGGGTGCTTATGTTTCCTAACCAGAGCAGACTTTTCATTTCATGGGTCCAACATGGCTCTCTGCTTGAATGAAGAATGGAGAAGGGAACGGATGTAGATTTGTCCAAAAGAATTAATGAAAAGCTTAAATTATAGGCTTTCTTTTTCATTAGTGTTAAGTCAGGGATTATAGAGATGGGTAAGATATAAATGAGTGAAGGAGAAAGGGAAAGAAAGGGGCAAAAACAGGAGGAGCAGGAGGAGGAGTAAGTAGGAGAAGGAGGAGCAGGAGGAGGAAGAGGGGGAGGAAGAGGGGGAGGAGAAAACTTTTCACCAATTATTAGTGCTTGTGACTGGGAGAGGGCACTAGTGAAGCATTTTGCAGTAACATCTCATTTTGTCCTCTCAAAACCACATCAGATATGAATTTAGTCTCATTTCATAAATAAAGACACAAAGAGTACAAAGAAAAAAGAGACAAGAAAGTTAGTTTTGGTTTGGTTCTGGGAAGGTGTTTGAAAGAGTAGTGTAAAATGTAACCCGGCTCGACTGGCAGGGGATCTGATTCTCCTTCCTGCTTGTTGGGATCCCATTTTTCCAGCCTGGATGGTTAAACTTTCAGCCGTTTCTTTCTGGAAACGCAGCCAGAGAAGCTTCCCTGCTCAAGGAGCAAAGACTACACACTTCTTCCTTCAGCCCTAAGGACTATTGGGTTACTGGAGCTCTGAATCCCCAATAACAATATTCACTGAACCCAACAAAGTCGAAGTGGGTGTGTTAAACATATTTCCACATAATATTATGGGTTCGATAGTGGACAGACACCCCCCAAATGTATCACTGAGTATGTGAAAGATCACAGGCAGTGTAATTTCTAGGAGAGACAGAAAGGTAATTATCTCCATGTAGCATTCCCAGAGGAAGCTCTTCTTTTAAGGGAATTCGTAAAGGGAAAGGATGGCGTTATGTGAGCAATAAAGACTTGTGTGTTCACTTGGTTCTTGTCCTACCTTTCCCCGTGGCCTGCCTTTCCTATACTGCATGCTTTCCATACCCACATAGAACTCAGACTGTATATGAGACCTCTTCTGTCCCTTTTCTTATTTTCTTCCCATGGCACCTAGAGTGAAACGATCAGTGGCCCCGTGTAGTTACAGAAAGCACCCTTATAATGGAGAGGGGTCAGAGCTGGGTACCTAGAAAGCTATTCAAATAATTCTTGAAAGCAATGATACGGACCTGAGCCCGTGACCGCAGTGGTGCCCGCCCAGAAAGATCACAGTTGGAGTCAAATGTGTCCATTCAACCGACTAAGGGAACCCTCTCTAGTAGGAAAAATCAATACAGCACCATAACAAAGCCCAGAAGAGTTCCTGAAACATACGCATCTCCTTTTCTGTTCCAGTGATATCAAGCAACAAGTTTCCACTACCTTTCACACAGCCATATATACTCACTCTGTCAGGAGCCAGAAGCCTTGAACAGTCTCTCCAGAAGTCTGTTTTATGTGGCCTCTCAAGTCTTCCATAGCAGTCTCAATGGCCCCTGGCTGAGTGGGAGAAGAAATCATTTCACATAAGGAAAACTGAACACACTCTGTACTTCTGATTAGTTAGAATGGCCAGCATCTCCTCCTGTTCCTCCTCCTCCTGCTCCTCCTCCTCCTCCTCCTCCTCCTCCTCCTCCTCCTCCTCCTCCTCCTCCAGGAGACTAAGCCTGGTTTTGCAATTGCATATTCTGTTTCACTGCAAGGCAGAGAACTTGGTCTTGAACTCTGTGTTTTAATGCTAGCTCTATCGTGTGGGCCAAAAGTATTCCAGGTCTTATCTTCTCAAATCCTATGTTTTATCACTGGAATGAAAATAGCCATTTTCAGAAAGTTCAAAGCAACTAACTAACTAATTAACTATATATAGCATATATACACACACACACACACACACACACACACACACACACACACACACACACACATACACACACACACACATATATATATCATTTTTTTAAAACCTTCCCAGATTCCAAGAGCACATTTTGATAAAACACAAAAAGTAGCTTCCTTCCAATGCTCCGACCATCAGTGTAGCTCAACTCTGTCTCCTCCTAACTTTCACAAAACAAGTGTTCCCATGTCTGGGCCTAGTTCTATGTGGTTAACAGATTGGCACCTGTCCTAGTAAATTCGTACCCTCCCTAGTCCACTTATTCTTAAACTCTGGTGTACATCAGAGCCATGTTGAAACATTTCTAGGACCCTTCCCAGTTTCATGTTCAGCGAGCATTTCTAACACGTGTCCAGGTGACATTGTCAGCGGGAAGACTGTACTTGTAACAACCAGTGCTGTCTACACAGTTATTCTCAATGCTTGACTGTACACCAGAATCATCAGGGAGACAAAAAATCCTAAGCCAGGATAAGTACTAAGCCAATTATTTCAGAAGCTCTGTGGATAGGTACATAAGTACATCAGGGATTTTTTTTTTTTTTTTTTTTTTTTTTTTTGGTTTTTCGAGACAGGGTTTCTCTGTGTAGCTTTGCGCCTTTCCTGGATCTCGCTCTGTAGAACAGGCTGGCCTCGAACTCACAGAGATCCGCCTGGCTCTGCCTCCCGAGTGCTGGGATTAAAGGCGTGCGCCACCACCGCCCGGCACATCAGGGATTTTTAAGAATGCATACTATCTTATAGGGAATAGGGACAAGGAAAGAGTAACGGTTCTTCAGATGAGGTGTGTGTGTGTGAACCAGCTAAGTACTTTATCTGCACACCAGCTCCTTGGTTCCTTCTGTACAGCCCAATCCACCCACAAAAAGAAGATGCAATACCTAAAGGGAGGTGAATAACAAGATTTGTCAATAATTAGTTCTGCAGTGTGCGCTCACTACTTGGCTCTCTGGCTAATGGACTGAACTAAACGAAACCTTCTGAGCCACACCGATGACCATAGGCTTCTATACCTTTTCAAGAAAATGTGGTCATAGCTTTTAGAGCCAAAGACTCTGATTCCATCATTTTAGTGAGTTTCTTCTTGAGCTAGACGGTCAGCTACTGGACTGGACGATTTTTCCCTCTGTGTCATTGTCTGCGGCTGGCTTCAGGCTGGTCAGAAAGCTAACATTGGCACCCCACGCTTGCCGAAGGCTGTGTGGCATAAAACCAGCAACTTCTGGGGTTTCCGTCAAATATGATTAGCACTGCTGCCACAAAAGTTTATGCTGATGTCATTCACTTCCAGCGACACTGTAGGCGTCAGACTACCCTGGGAGGGACATACCCTCAACTTCCTGGTGATTCTCCCTTTGCTCAACCTTGTGTCCCCCTGAAGCATTCTGATTCTTCCAGGACCCACTTTTCAAAGTCTTCTAAAATACAATGCTCTCTTTCGTGACTCAACACTGGTATTTTTCTCATAATTTCTTTACATAATTTTAGCCTCACAAATATAACTCAGCAGTGAAACTAATACTTTTCAGAAAAAAAAAATGTAAGTAGACTTGGAGAGTAATTAAATAACCCTAAAATAAGCATTTTGCTGAATATTTTCATGCCACGCAGTTCACCAAAAATATGTGAGATGACTATAATACTGTATAAAATTTTAAAACCTTACTATCTTCCATACCCAAAGCAATTGCCAAATCTATCAAAATGAAGAATGATCTATATTTGATCCAGATATATCTCTGTGAAGTTATACTTCAGAAATTCTTGCACACATTCAAAATGGCACAGCTGAAGAACTCTTTGTAGCCTTGTACGTAGGCAGCAATAAATGAGGAGCATTATACAAATGCTGATCAAGAGGGTGCTGTATTATAAAATGTATTCAGATAATATAATACAATGAAGGTATAGGAGTAATAACATATATTGAGAAATGAAAAGAAAAAATAAAACAGGAGAGGGTAAGGTAGGCCACCCTGCTTACGCAGGAATATGTGGAGTAAGTATATTCCTGTTTGCTGACACACAGCTAAAGTAAGCATAAAAAGGTCTATGAAATATATTAATGTTGGTTTCCTTACAGTGGGAAAACATGAGATGGAAATAGACCACGAAAGTGATGCTTTCCTGTATACCTTTTCAAAAGCTAAGCACTGAAAGTAAGTGTGTTATTTGGGGAATGCTTTGATGCTCTCTACAGCTCTGTCAATGTTCGCATTGTCTGTACCATTCTTTTCTTTTCAGTATGAACATTGCTCACGCCCTTTTTAGAATATAGAACAAAATGTGGCCCAACAGAGAAATGTGTTTCCTTCACTTGTATTATTGTAACTAACCTTTTGTACTTCATAAATTCACTCTAATAATTTAGAATAAAAATTTTAAAGTACAAAGGCTCGTGTCTTAGGTATCAAGGTTTAATCTCAGTCATGCTTATGGCTCTCTGGAATCCATGGTAAGTCATCGTGGTGTTCTTCATTAGTCTGTTAATTTGTTATATTGTTGTGATAATTATTACTGTAACTGAACTACTGGGAGATACCATGAGACCCTATACATTAAACAGTAACAAACACTGAATAATGAGAGGCTTTACCATCATCCTTATTATTGCTTATGTTAAATAAAAGGGAACTAGCCATTCTAGAATTCAAGGATCAAAGGCTCGGTGCAATTAAGCACTTAGCTCTGAGACTGCAGTCTAAGAGAAATAGGAAACCGTGATCAAATACATCATCCTACACAACATAGTGACTCTACTCTCTTACATTCTAGCCCTGAGTAGTTCCAGGCAAAGCAAACCTTCTTGGGGAATTCCAAAGACTTTCATGTCTGTTCCATTGCATTTCCATGATCTAGACTAGCCCAGGGCCAGTGCTGACCCAAACAATACCCTTGACTTGGTCACTGTTTTCCATGTAATAAGCTCCTTGTGTGCAGAAAGAACCAGCGGTTCAGAAAAGACTTATCTCAGAGACTCTGGCTCCCACATTTCCTTTGTGGCTACTATGATGGCTAGCAGAGGCCATTTTGCAATGAACACATAAGTAAGGAAATTAGCTCCATTGGCCATGATCTGTAAAGGAAAAGAAAATTTGTATTTCCTTTTAAAAACAAAGTTATAAAATTCACCTTATCACATCCTTGCTGTGGTTCTGCTCTCACAAAAGAACAAATCATCTTTATGGCATTCCTCAAGAAGTTTCACACAATGGAAGCCGAACAACCTCTTGCCCAGTGAGATGTTTATTTTCTAAACTAAATGGAAGCTCACACAGGCAATAACAATAAAACTAATAAATGTATTTGTTCCCGATGTGAGGGCAAGTCACCGGGAACCCTCGAGCAAGAGAAGAGGAAAAGAGAGAGACTATGGGAGCCAAATTAGTGTCATGGAAGCAATGACATCTCACTACACAAAGGGGAGTCCTGAACCTGCTTATTAAAGTCTCGCTGCTCACAATAGAACACAGGCTATAAAAAGGCCATGGGGAACCATTAATTAAATATTAAAAGATCAAATAGTTTTAGTCCCATTAGTTTGTATGTAATTTACATTCTCTAGTATAAATTTAGAGATAATTCTCCATCTCGAATTGCTTTCAACTTTCTGATAAGGTATCTGCAAATACAGAGCCCTACAGGGAGTTTAAAAATATCCTTCTCCATGTGGGCTAAGCATTGTTCTTTTCATAAAAAGTTGCTTTTGAACATCAGTCTCCACAACCAAGATGATTATCATAATATACCTCAAGTTATTAGCCTTGAGGGATACTTTTGTTTGGAGAAGGCATGGGGCCTTTTTTAGATATATCCAAGCAATAATAGCAGACCCACCACAACCAGAGAAAAGGGTGGCAAATGGACTGAGAGCAAGGGCTTTAGACTTTCACTTCTGCGATCTTGTATTCATGCCCCAAGGTCGCAGGTAGTACAGGGACAGTGTCAGGAGTTGTGCATTGCAGGTATGCTTCCCAGATCCGGCATGAGCCTAGGGATGCTGGTGACCTTGGACAAGAAATAATTCCTTCAGGTACTTTAGGATGTTCACTGGTTATTCCCCCAGACCCACTGTCTCTGAGAAGAGGTCTGTTAAATTAAGTCAGAGAGACATAATTTTCACATATATTGATAATGACCAGCAAACCACAGCAGGAGTTTAAAAGGAGACGAATAATTTATTTTTATGATCTGGTACTTAGATGTGTGATATACTGCCTGATACTATGATGCTAAAATTACCACTTATGTGTCAAGAATTCCTATTTCTATGCCAGTCACTTCTTTGCAAATCCCTCTTGAAACTCATAGAATCGATCATTCTACTCCTTGTATCTTTGGATATCAATTCCTGGCATCCGAGAAACTTCATGCCATGCTATTACAGAAAGCCAATGAATACCTTTCCTTCCCAGATCAATGATGTGAACAGAAAACAGTCTAAATATTCACCTAGTGGGCTTTGGGGTTTCAAGTGCTCAACCTAGGCCCAGTGTTCCTCTCTCCCTGCTGCCTGCTGATCCAGATGTGGAATGCTCAGCTCCCCCTCTAGCACTGTGTCTGCCTGCATGCCACCAGGCTTTCTGCCATTACAATAATGGAC